GTGTTAATGATGCATAACCACGAATAATAATAATAATATATGAAATAGACACACGGAACACATCCGAGTCACATATTTGTGTAATACAAGAGTGAACAAAGTGAGAATAGAAGGAGATAGATGATAAAGGAAACAAACAAACAAAACATTACAATTCAATTCTATAATATTCATTTAGTATCAAGAATTTGTGTCAAATATTCTTGTTAAAATGACATGTCAATTGATTTTAGAAAATTTTATTCGTTCAGATTAACAGTATTGGTAATTCAACTTAATATCAGTGCTCTTAAATCTACTTTACATTTATTGTTTAAAACTCCTTAAGATAAATTTATAAAATGATTAAACTCATTAAAGAACAAGAGTTTCTCACTTAAGAAGGTGATTAGTAAAAGGTTGATTTATCACTTTAGGAAAACATTTTCAGTTCGTTAAAATTACTGATGAACTATGATAAGATTGGACAATTGTAAAATCTCGACCGGCTAGTTTTAATAATTCATAACTTCATTATTGTGTTAACAACATAAGTCAGAATGATGAATTTCATTCATTTGATGACAGTTTACCTCACATATTGGGAAAATGTTGCAAATAACGAAACAACAGTTCATAGTTTTGTTAACTGCTAAAACTTTCAATGGTGTATATGTTAAGAATGATTAAGAAACTTTTGGGTATAAGATTAATCTACGAATAAGAACAGTTGGGTAGCTTCATGATGATACAAATGAGCTACACGTGTTTCACTTCTTCAATGATTCTAAAGATAACATCACTTCAGGATAAATTTATATTTAATGCAAATTAATTCAATTTTCAGTTTTTCTCATTCTTCGGTCAGACATAAACAATGTAGCAGCTATCATAGTTCCATATCAGTTCACATTGCTACTTCATATCAGGACAGTTGAGTAAAACTCTGAGAAAGCTATGAAATGTATTGCCAAATTTTAATGAAAGTAAATCAGTCTTAATTTAAGGTCTACTTTCATATTTAATTGTAAATTAGTGAACAAATATTTACTTGTCACAATCAATCAACTACTTGTTACTCAGAAAAAAGTTTAGCTTTGTAATTCGTTTGTCAATTACATCAAGTCAAATAAATCAATAAATTAACCGTTGAATTAAATCGACAGAACTTCTATCCTCTCATTTTATTCATCAAACCTCGTTTATTTAAATTATTTTTGAACCATGATTCTTTATAAGGAACAGCATAAGTAAACGTTACAATTTTTATCATTATAAGTTACTGTCAATCACGTAGAATAAAATAATACCAGTCTGTCTCATAGATACGGTTTTCCAATTGGTACCAAGTAATGCTTTCTCTATGACTTCTATACGTTAAATTTATAAAAACTTGTATTGATTAATTACTAATGATAGAAAAATTGAAATATTTTTAACTTTCAAATCCTTTAAAAGTTTAATCGAGTGACTTGAATGATTGAAATTGCTTAAAATACTCTATATAGTGTATACAATCTAATTTTCTTATGTATTATGATTGTTCTAATATCTATCTATGCTAGTGAGCGGCCTTTACTCTTTTACGAGGAGTAACAGGCGTAACTCCTCCTCCTGAACATCTATAATTATTTTAATGGAAAGCTGTTGTTTTTTCTTCTCTTGTTCCTGTCTATAAATTGATCATCATTATCATTAATAAAATAAAATATTATCAATTGACAGGTAAACTTGTACTTATGTACTTGTGTAACGCTTTTGAAAGAAAGCTATAAACAAGCTTACAAGTTTAATCAAAATAATAAATCAAATTATGACATCACAATACATTGAATAGAATTTTTATTAGAACACTTTCATCTATGTTAATTACTTTGATAAAATGGGTTTTTTTTCGATTTATTTACAGAATGTTTTAATTCAAACAATTAGCATAAATGAAGAAATGATGAAACACTGAACTCTTTCACACTTCTATAAAATATATTACGGTTATCAAGTTTGATAAAGACTGATTGGAGTTTTAATTGGTATACCTTAGAAACTGATATCATTCGTAAACTTAGAGAATATATTATTGTCTAAATGAAGACGTAAAAGACATTCTTCTGATCTTTAGTTATCTGAAACTGGAAAAATGTTTGTATTTATTGTTAGTAGGGGATAATGAGATTGAATAGGTTATTTTCTTATTTTAACAGTATTTAAAATATTTAAAGAACTAACTGAAATTAATCTTCAAGTAGATACTCTATCTTAAAAGGCAAACATTATTTACTGTCTATCAATATTAGATCATATCTTATCGTTTTATTATACAAATGTACTAATAGCAATAGTATATATGATCAATAACAATTCATTATATTCGTTAGAACGCAATGAAATATAATGAAGCTTTAATAACATCGTCCTCTCTCTGAGTAAATATGAACGGTCAACGTATCACATTTATCGAAACAAGAAAAAAGTTGAAATCTATAAATTGTGTAGCACTCAAGTCTATATCATATTCGATCACTTTTGTGTGTGTGATACCTTTGAAGAAGCCTATTTTCAAAGCCTTTGTTTTATAATTATCTTAAATAGAACCCAAAATTTTGTTACAACTCATACTTAACAAAACTAATTTATAATTTTAACTCTTCTTAATCAAAGTATTGTGATTACCTCATTATATTCTTTTAGATCACTATAATCTTACTTTATGTTGGTGATAGATATTCTATACCATATTTTTTTGTAAATTTTTGTTTTTAAAAAAAAACTAGTATTAGCATTATAATCGTTTTCAAATGTCAGATTCTTCATTAGTTAAGATTAAATCTTTTGGATTAGATGGTGGTTAGAGGTAGTCAACAGGAAACAATGAACCCAGGGGTCGTGCTACTTGGCACCCGTCAGCAAGGTGTACCTGTAATTCTGAGGGAACTGGTACTGCTTGAGGGATTCGATCCCGTGTCACCCAGTTTCACAGTCAGAGACGTTACCACTAGGCTATCCGGGCCGCGGCTGACCTCCTGTAGGGCTGAGATGTAATCACAATTGATTGATCACTGGGTGGTGATCATTGTCATGTTTGTCAAATCTTTCTTAGTGGAGATCGAATGCTGTCGACTAAGAGTAGTGACCACATTGCAACTTGGTCGATAGCATTCGATCTGCACTAAGAAGAACATGACACACATGACACTGATTACCAACCAGTGATCACTCAATTGTAATCTTTTGAATGTTTGTTAGAATCATGAAAAGAAAGGAAATGGTTATGTGATTTATTTTACACCTTGGATTCACGTAATTGATGTAATTTATTTAATTATTTTGATACGAAAGTATTTTCTTCCATTATTAATTAGATTTTAATTGTATTTTATTATATTAATATATGAAGTATACAAATGATATTCTTAATTTACCATTATATTTACAGTTAAATCAGTAAAACTAATAAGTTACTAATCATTTTCATCTATGGATTTGATAAATAGATCGATTAGAGCTGCATTGTTTTTTCCCTTTTCAAGTGATTTAAGATCAATTATCTGTTCTCTGTGTTATTTGGGATTTAACGATTTAAAAATGATAATGAATGTTAAGATTTCTGTTAAGGTGTAACGGTAATCATATTGAAGTATAAACATTACATGATTAAGAAAGTGTGAGTGTCCAGCTACAGCTGAGATGGATTGTAAATTCGGTAGTCTGAAGGTATGAATACATTCTTTTCTATGTAAACCTGTTAGATTTTCCCGATTATTTATTCAGTGATTGCGTTAATAAGCACTACATATTGGGCGTACATTTTATACTTATTTTAAAATTGCTATATGAAAGCTATTAAGTTGATCGTTTTCGTAATCAGGAAACAAGTCAAATTTGTTATATTAAATGTATTGTTCATATGTTCACTATAAGCACCCAAATATCTTAGGTTGATCTGCAACTTATCTTGGTTGGGGGTGGAAATAATTTAGTTTTTAAGTGTTTGGATTATCCAAAAGGGTTGCCATTTTCGACTGAGTTTAGTCTAAGTTGGTATATATGGATCTTGTACGGATTATTTCTTACAAGCTTAAATAAGAGAGATGGATTGTGATTAAAACTTAAGGAGAAAAGTATTGGCTTAGTATCACGGTGGGAACAACAACACTGGGATCCGGGTATATCAAATCAACCAGTCTCAAGTAGAGCAAAACGCTTGCCATGTATTCTACTGCTAGCCGCAAACCATTTCTTCTATAAAAGGAGATGAAAGTAGCTAAAGGCACTAGTTCAAAATATCAAACTGCACATATCCTTTTTTTCTAGGATTTTAGATAATAGCAGCAATTATCTGCTGTTTACTATTTTATCATTCAATGTGTCTTCATTTTAATTACTGAACTTTGGGTGGAACGCTTAGGAAAACTGTTTCATAACTAACCTGTCACAACATTTCAGTGGAAAATAGATCCATTACTTAATAAAGTACTTCTTGTGCTTTTTCATCTTGTTTGTTGGCTACATAGGATTTCTTACTTATTAGAGTTCTCAGTATATTTGCAATCCCTAGTTAAATGTTATATGGTACATACGTATTATGTTTTAGTTTAAGTTATATTATTTCTTTACACTTCCAATCAAGCAAATCTTTGTAAAAGAATCCTATTTTCCTCTAGCTGTTACAAATAATTAACATATTACTACAAACTAGTTTAAAATGATCAAGATTTTGAAGCTAGATTGGGCTTTATTAGATTCACATATGTCTCGTCTATAAGTGACAAAGCGCACCATAATATTTGGTTTGTGCTACCATAAATGAACTACTGTACATTAATAAATCAATTATGGTAATAGGTACGCCTCAAACCAATTGATCGAGTGTTATGTGAACAATGGCTCCATAAAGCAGACTAATTAATTGGTGAGGAAATTTCGTGTTGTGAGACTACCATATACTAATTATATGAACCGGAATAACTTATTTAAAACCTGAAATCTTTAAATGCAGAAGAATAATCAAAAATAAAACTTACGTTTCACAAATATTGTGATACTTGTTTGGTGAGCCGAACCCACAGGATGTCCAGTTTCACAAATCAGTTTAGCAGCATGATACTTCCGAGTAACTCGTTGAATGATCAGTGTATTTACTAATTGATCTTTCTCTTTAGTAAGTGTGTAATGTAGTGGTTGTACATCTTCGGAAATAAAATCTCCCTGCTGCAATTGAGATAGTTCTGGCATAGCGATTTTCTGCGATAAACTACCACCACTATTGCTACTGTCTAAACTTCGTAGATAGGCTTCAACAGATGTGTAATCACTGAGTCTAGCACCACCCCTACCCCCAATTCCACTGATTTTTTGAATATCGCTGTCATCAACTTGACTTGTTCTTATTAACCATCTCCAGAATAGTCCACCTAAAGGTTTGCCAGGTGGTGAGGAAACACATACTGCACGTAACTGTTCACCATCTAAATAAACATGGTTTGTTTCAGGACTGACAATTTTCGGAGGACCGGGAGGAGCTGCAAAAGTAATGTAAAAACACATTTATGATAGTTAAGTCTGATTTCTTGACTTTTTCACAACTCTGAGCAGAATGAACAAAAACGATAAATAATTAACCCCGAGCTACGTTGAATACTACTTCAAAGAGGTTGAATAATAACGAATACAAAGTGCGGTATGAATCATTATTATGATTAATAATGGGTGATGAAATCAATTTCTGTCTAAGGAGAAATCTACAGTCAAAATTCAAAGGGGTAAATAACCACTTTTCAAATTTGTTTGTTGATTTTAGTGGGAAGAAAAACATAATCAGACAAATAAATAAGTAAAATATAGTCACCATATATATATATATGCATCTTGAGCCGGCAAGATTGAAGTTGTTTGTTCTTGATGGCAAGTGAAATGAAGTATGTTAATTATGAATGCACTGAAAAAGGTTGCTGAAAATACTCAATTACGTATATAATGTGTAAGGAATAAAGAAAATATTTTCATTTAACTGTTTATTATCTCCTAAAAAACGGTTTTTCTAAATTATTTATCAACCAAAATGATTGTTTATATAGTTAAGATAGACAGATATAAATAAGAAAAGTTAGAGGTCAGTCATATATATATATATATATATATATATATATATATATATATATATAGAGAGAGAGAGAGAGAGAGAGAGAGAGAGTGTGTGTGTGTGTGTGTGTCAGAGACTGAATATATGCTTTGCGATCTCAAGTGTTTAAACTATGTTAATTTATTATGATACAATGAAAAGAAGTTAATCATCATTATGCTAGTTGAAACTTTTATATATATTTCTTACATATACTATAAGCTAATATCAGATACTACTTGTGACCTTCACAAGATTAATGTCTAGTATCATTTTATAATAATCACTCCTTGTTTCAATTAGTACACTATTAAAGCAATAAAACCTCTGACTCTTAATAACTCGTTATTAAATAGTATCTAAATGGAGAATGAACTTGATATAAATTTAAATGAATTAATCACTGTAATGTTTCATAAGAGTTAACGATTGTTTTGTAAATTTAAAAATAGACAGTTGTAGAGAATGAAACAATCATTCCCCTTTTTATATTATCAGGTTTATCCTATAGATTGTTTTTATATACTGGTGATTCTTTTTTTATTTATAAATTGAAAACTGTGTGGAATAAAACTTAAAATTTATTATTCTGAATTAGAAATCGGCTCTTTTGACTATTGTAAATACCAGTAAGTTTTTATTTTTACTAATATCTAAATTTCAATAGTTGAAATCCTGAGTCAATTGAAGCTAGATCACCATGGAAAATCTCGAAGCACTGAACGGCTGTTTCGTCTTGTTGTGGGACGCCTCAGCAGTGCGAAACCAGGTCTGTTGTGAGATATCAGCTCACTGAAGATAATGGTGTACGGTGGCGCATTTTCGTGGTTTGGTGGAAGTTAGACATTAAAACCGTTGGATGCCGGCTCAGTGGTTAGGCGCTCGCGCGCGAGACTGATAGGTCCCGGGTTCGGATCTCGTGCAGTGGACGGGATCGTGAGTGCGCACTGCTGAGGAGTCCCATACTGGGACGAAACGGCCGTCCAGTGCTTCCAGTTTTTCCATGGTCGTTTAGCTTGAAATGACTCATGATTTCAACTATTGAAATTTGTAAAATCTCTACAAAACTCCTTCTGATAATATCTAAATGACAACTTACGTTGTTTTATATAGTAGGATTTGGTTGTAGAGTTTATAGAAACTTTCCTGTAATCAATTTCGACTATAGTTGATTTTGTTAAACCTTTTTTATTAACTTACGTAACAGATAATGTTATTTGAACAGTAACAGTTTGAATATATCTTTGTACTATTATGATTACTATCATATCTGTATAGACGTGTACGCTTTATCACATAATAGATTACGTACATATCTCTCTCTCTAGCTAAAATGTCGATAGATTAAATATCACTCTATGTGATTGTAGGTTTGTTATCCGTTCTATCCGGTAATAAACTGTACTCACCGTTTCATATTGCCTTCTAATTTCAAACACCGTTGAGATTTATATAATAACGGTTATCAAGGTGATTGATTAATGAAACTAAACCAATGCAAGTGTAAGTTCCGGTAGCTTGTTTTCACCACTAAACAAAATATAACCCTGATGCTGTGAAACATGGTGTTACGTTTCACTTCAATATATAATGCCTGATAGGACAATCAGCAGATCGATCCTGTAATTTGATTGTAAGATTTCAGTAAAAATCTCATATCAACTAGTAGAAATTATAGTAGCTGTTAAAAATCATTTGGCATTTAATCATAAGTTATATGAACCTGAAGACAAAACTGTGAGCCAATACAAAATTCTGTGATAAACACAGTTCTTGTATACAGCGAGAAACCTATATACGAACTCTAGTGAATATGTTAAGTTTTTACCGTCGTATAATATAAGAAAAACATTTTAGTATGAAGCTTGTTTTTTGCATTAAACTTATTTCCATCAGTAAGCGAGCTGTATTATAGTTTTAATGTACTTTAAACCAACTAGTTTTATTCATCTTGAATTAGAAGGGAATGGATAGCAACGAAATATTTTTAATTTGAATCATCAAACTTACAAATAAACAAATATCTATTCATCTTAGTATAGAATGACTAGATTTTAGAATGTATAAATATACAGACACCTTATTTTTAGGTTGATGGGAACAAGGTTTCAATGAACTGATTGTTTGAAAAGTATTATAAATGTAGCTCCCGCTAACTATAACATTATTAAATGATAAGAACTAATCTTTGATTTTTATCATTACACTGCCAATATATAAAAATATCTATCCACTTAATTGGCTTATCTTTGAGTTAACTTTATTTCATACCAAAATCATGTTTCATGTTCCAGACAATTTTCGTAGATATGCACTAGCAGTATATGGATGAAGGGAAGTATATCAGGTACAACGATTGGTTTAATGTTTATTAGTTATCTTTGAGCACTAGACAAACACACGTAAAACAATGAAACAATAACTGAACTGTTGCTTGTCTAAAATGAATATATATATATATATATGTTTAGTGAAAGGCGACAAGATAGACTGAAAATGTAAAACTCCATAGTAATGCTCAGATAATGTAGTGTATCAACAATAATATGTTATTTTTTTACTTCTAAATGTAAAACGCTATGACATTCTTCGTCTGCTAGTCTATTCATATCGTTACATTGCATTTTGAGACTGATACAAAACAATTGTTTTGTGATTTCTGTTAGATGTATACTCTAATACGTGGTATTAATCATACTTTTATGCTTAAAATACCATCAATGATTATGGAATACAAAGCAGTGATATAAGTAATATCAATATCAATGTTTAATTATTTAGACAGGGACATAGTTGATTTTTCTTACATTCTCAATAACTGAATCATTGATGATGAAAAATTAAAAAATAGTTCAGGTATACTGATTTTGAGATTATAAAAAGCTTATTCTTGTATGCCTATTCTAAAAATGATATATTATTGAAGCAAAATAGGGAACAACTCAGCTAGAAGTTACTTAATTCAATATTACTTACTTACTCTTCGTGAAGGAGCATAGGACGCTCACCAGCACTCTCCATCCAACCCTGTCCTGGGCTATCTTTTTCAGCTCCTTCTAGTTGTTATTTGTCATTTTTATATCTGCTTCTATTTCCCGACGTAGTGTATTCTTTGGCGTTTCGCTTTTCCGCTTCCCTTCAGGATTCCAAGTTAGGGCTTGCCTCGTGATGCACTTTGACGATTTGCGTAATGTATATCCTATCCATTTCCATCGTCTTTTCCTAATTTCTTCTTCAGCTGGAAGTTGGTTTGTTCTCTCCCACAGAAGGCTGTTGCTGATGGTATCCGGCCAATGGATGTTGAGTATCTTGGGTAGACAGCTATTTATAAATACTTGTACTTTCTTGATTGTGGTTGTTGTAGTTCTCCAAGTTTCAGCTCCATACAGTAGAACTGCCTTGATGTTCGTATTGAAGATTCTCACTTTGACATTGGTTGAAAGTTGTTTTGAGTCCCATGTGGTCTTCAATTGTAGGAATGAGACCCTTGCTTTACCAATCCTTGCCTTCACATCTACATCTGAACCTCCTTGTTCATCGATGATGCTTCCCAGGTATGTGAAGGATTCTACATCTTCCAGAGTTTCGCCATCAAGAGTGATTGAATTACTGTTCTCCGTGTTGTATTTGATCACCTTGGTTTTCCCCTAGTGTATGTTGAGGCCTACTGATGCAGAGACTGCTGCTACACTGGTTGTCTTTATCTGCATTTGTTCATGTGTATGCGATAGGAGGGCCAGGTCATCTGCGAAGTCCAAATCGTCTCATTGATTTTGAGCTGTCCATTGTATTCCGTGTTTTGTCTCTGATGTCGAGGTCTTCATAATCCAGTCGACCACCAGGAGGAAGAGGAAGGGAGAGAGTGTGCAGCCTTGTCTGACTCCGGTACTTACTTGGAATGCGTCTGTCAGCTGTCCTCCATGCACGACATTGCACTGTAGTCCGGCGTATGAGTTACAGATAATGTTGACAATCTTCTCAGGAACTCCGTAGTGTCGAAGAAGTTTCCATAACGTCCTCCTATCCACACTGTCGAATGCCTTTTCATAATCAATGAAGTTGATGTACAGTGACGAGTTCCACTCAATTGATTGTTCGACGATGATCCGTAGTGTTGCAATTTGGTCCGTGCATTACCGTTCCTTGCGGAATCCAGCTTGTTCATCCCGAAGTTGGGCGTCTACTGCGTCTTTCATCCGGTTAAGCAACACTCTGGTGAGGGCTTTCCCTGGTATTGACAGTAATGTGATGCCTCTGTAGTTTTCACATTCGCTCACATCTTTCTTCGGAATCTTGATGAGGTGTCCTTCTTTCCAGTCCATCAACAATTGTTCCTTCTCCCAAATCTTCTGGAATAGAAGGTGAAGCATGTTTGTAGTTACTTCGATGTCTGGCTTTAGAGCTATAGCTGGTATATTGTCAGGTCCTGCTGCTTTTCCGATCTTGATTTGTCTGATGATCATCCTGAGTTCTTCGGTTGATGAAGTGACATCTATAAGAGGGTCTGTGTGTGCTACTTCGATGTCCGGTGAATTCATTGGAGCTTGCCTATTCAAGAGTTTCTCGAAGTAATCTACCCATCTGTTCCGCTGTTGTTGAATTTCAGTGATTGTCCTGCCTTCTTTGTCCTTGGCCGTAATTCAATATTAGCATTATAAAATGTTATAAAATAGGATTAAGATCTAGTTATTGAAAGACTGTTACGTAATCTTCATGATCATAATAAACGTAGTATTCTGTTTCGCAATCAACTCGATTACAAATTGATTATAAAATTATATTACTTAAAGAAGTTTACAAGATGTTCTTCGGCTGAATGGTCGATCGCATTTATATATAATGCATTATCTTTTAGCATTCCTGATGCTTAATAAGATACAATATAATGAGAGGAAGCATTTGTATATGTTGTCAGTTCTTATTATTTATGGAGAATTACTTCATCTTTGTAAAATAAATTTACTTATAATTACAAAGTCAATACTTATTAAAGATAACTAATTGTCTAATTATTTGATTTGTTATTTGTTATGGATTCAACAAACAAAAGACAATGAAATAATTTAGAAAAATGATTATCAACTCACTATGAACTTCTACAGTAATTGTTATCGATAAATTACGTTTCATTGGATCATGATTTATTTGAGTTGCAGCGTTGGACACACTGCATACAATTTCATCACCATCTTCTAAACCAGCTTTAAGGATACTTAGACTAGATTGTTCATCATTGTCTTTATTATTGATAATAGGATGTAATTTACCCCAAATTTTGAGCAAATTATCTGGAAGAAACGAAGAAGTAAACTCATATAAGAAATACTCTGAATTTCATTAAAAGTAAATAAAAATAAATACTTGTGATCATTAGTTCTTCATATTGTAAACATGTTGGTTAAGTGGCTATAAGAAATTTGTCCCTTATTAGGCATTTTATATAGAGATATTGTGATAAGGATTTTTGAATATACTTTCCTTAATGAAGTCACATTTGCAATTTAAAAATGCATTTCAGTATGCATTGAAGTACATTTATAAAACCATCAATTAACTAACAAGTCTATTGAATAACACTGAGCTGAAATCTCGAAGTTCATTCTTACATTAACTAATCCAATAATCGAATATATTTTCAACATTGCAAATATGAAATTATAGCCTCATAGTATTTCTTGTAACTGATCACTGATATTAATAAAATGTTCAAGTACTTTTACTACAAAAATGAAGTGTCATTTTGATTATAGAGTTGTTTACTTTCAAGTGATTAAATAATTTATTCTTGATAGATAGTAATGTAATTAACTTGCTTCTTGCATTGTAGTTTACATAAATATACTGCATACATTTCATATACATATAAATTAACATATATTTTTTCTCCATTAGAAGAGAGCTCTGTTTGTTCTATAATCATGTAAGGAAACGCTGGTTCAAAATAAGTCTTTGAATCAGTTGATGTGCACATGAAGCATTTCAATCGCTAATTAGCATATACATGTCAAAGTCTGCATTTGTTATTGTTTTCATAAGGGTATATCATTTATAGCTTTATTACTAGATGTATCAGATGGTCATCGAAAAGGTAACCTAACTTCATTTAAAAGAATTACTAAGTAAATTACAATTTTAAATGATGTACTGTGCCTTAAATCTGGCCAATTTTATGGATTATTAATTTGGATTTATAACTGTAGAACCTGATGAGAAATTATCGAAAAGAAAATTCTTCGTTCATACAATTGTGTTTTAATATAATGGGAATTTTTCAGTGATTAAATTACATGATCTGCACTATACTATCAGTCAAGTATATAAACAAATAGCAATACGTATTTTAGGTGTCTGTTTCCACTGAATCTATATTTGCTTCAAGATTACTCTGTTTATTTTATTAAACGAGAGTAGCAAGTTCAATGAAAAAGTAATCAGTTAAAGTAAATGACTTACTCATTTTGGCTACATCATTAGGACTCATTGGTGTTTTAGTTTTTACCTCCAGATTTGGTATTTCATGACGGTTAAGTAACCATTTGAAATTTGGAGCTGGTCGGCCACCAACTGCAGAACAAACTAAACTAATACGCAAAATAGGATCTGGTTGAGATATGATCAATTTCCTGTCGGGTAACTGTATATTTTGATATAAAATCTGTGGTTCATTCGGCTTAACTGAATGTAAACACGTAAAGAAAGTAAACAAAATTTGTTATCGTCTTGCATTATTTTTTATATTAGTTTTGGGATTTGTAACTATGGTATTTACTTGTCATGAGAAAGTGACTCATAACAATAAGTGTTAAACAAATGTAAAACATCATAGTGACAAAAATTACCATACACTGTGGTGATAGTTTGTGGAAATGGCTTTTTTTTCCAGAAATGATAACAAATGAACAGGAACTGACAGTCAGGGAGTAATTCACGGAAATTGGAAATATATACAGTTTCGCTCGAACTAAGAAGTCTAAAGTTGTCAGACTCACTGAGAAGTTCAATAATTCAATAAAATTATTCAGGTGTGGGGCATTTATCCATCAAAGACAATGGAAAATGCTCACACAACATCATGTATTGTTTGGAGCTAGACATTATCAGTGATCTAGAATTTTAAAGTTCGAAGGTCGTAGGTACGAGTCCTGTGGACGAGATATTAGATGCGGAATGCTGAGGAGTCTAGTAATAAGACAGGATGGAATAAAATGTAGTCCGGTGTATGATGATTTTAAGTGTTATAGTAGTTGATGTCGTTATGAAGAATAGCTTGCAACCAAATTCGACCGGGAAACATGTAAGTCGCTAAACTAAATTACGAATCTTATGAAATGTACGGTTTGATAGTAGCCTATTTTTAGCGCGACTAAGACTTTTGATACAAGATCGATTGTGAGAGAAAATATTCCCATCATTACTTCACTTCTGTTTTGTAGATTTTAGTCAGTTAAATGGCTGTTTCCTCAACTTAATAAACAAGAATAATTAAGTTAAAGTAACTTATATATTGGTAGGTAGAAAACTCAACTAGTGTATGGGTACACTAAAAATTCAGATTAACAGAATAACTTGGAGTAAAATCAAACTATTATAGGTTTATCTCAGCCAATTGTTTGATTTTCTTGAACTTTTAAATGGATGAAGAAAGTTATAAAATCGATTCTTATGTCAGACCAGAGTTTCGTTGAAGGTATGCTGATGAAGTATGCATATACAGAAATTAAATAATCCTGAGTCTATTGATAAATTCCTCTTCAACGAAATGATAAAATTTAGCTTCTGGTTCTTCTTGTTGTGTTACATTTTCTTTAATACTATTCACAATATTTCGTTACATTTTAACCATCCTTATAAAAATGCCAAAACTGGTTTAAACTAAATTGAAAATGTATTTAATAGCATTTTCAACATTAGGATGGGGACAGGAAAGTAACTTATTGATTTGTATGACCATGATTTAAAGAAAAATTTTGTAACCAGAACTACTTACGTGATGATCTGTGATTATTAAACCAAGATTTCGTAAGGTCCTAAATTACGATTATATTGGAAATTATGCAACTTAAACAGTTTTTAAAACAGTGGTACTGAAAACTGAACTTTGAGTTTTGTTGAAGACATCGGAAACCTGTACACCTTGTTGTATTGATAACTAAACCTTCTCTTATTATTTAAAGTGAACAGTTCTAATAACATTGTAAATAGTTAAATAATAATTATTATCTACTGTTTGGATGACATTGTTACAAAGGTTTAATACTCATAGTACATTAATAATGATACATATTAATACATAATACATGGATAAGTGGTTAACAAATATGAGATTGGATGTTTTTTCCCTATCATAATACATATTATCATTGTTGTTTACTTTTAGATAGTTGTTGAATTAATCAACTTAATGGATGCTGAACAAAGAGAATCACCCACGACGCAGCTGAACAAATTAAAAATGATGTGCACAACAAATTTAAAATAAGTCAGCAACTGTGTGATAAAAGATTATAATAAAAACCGTTGCAATGAGAAACATTTCAATTAAATCTTACTAAGAACTTCTAGATACGTTTTTCTTCTTAATAATGGATGATTATTAACTGGGACTGGAGTGACTTGACATTCATATTCTCCAGCATCATCACGTTGAACATCTGTAATTTGTAATGTATGCTCTCCTCGTCCAACATCACCAATTATTCTGAATCTAGAGTAACCCGGTATAGAACGATCATAACCTAGGAAATTATGAATTCTAAAATTAATACCTTCATACTTTAAGTAAAATTTAAAAGAAAACAAATGTAACATTATTGGAAAAAATTCAGTGTTCTCATTAAATATACTTGTGTTAATGAACATTAAACTTTCATCATTGATAACTGCTTAATGTATCAAACAACAATGTTGTACATAGTTGCTGAAAGATGACAAATTTTAAATTGATAAGCCGAATTCTATGGGATATATAAATATTTCATTGCAATCTGTTTTTAATGATGTACTTTAGGACATGAATTATCTGAAAACATACGCTTTTAAATGAAACCTCTGAAGTTTACACTTAAGTATTGATACCTGTAAAATATGATCTATTAACTGTGATGGGTGCCATTTAAACTAGTGATGTGGTGGAGAACGATGAAGTAATAATAATGTTTTATTGTCATAGGATTTTCTGCCTGTGTTTTGCCATACTATAACTAGTTGATGACTGCATATTGACATTTCATTGTGCATGTTAAACAATAAACTTAAGAGTAGTTTTCTTTCCAGTGAACTTTACGTTATACTTCAGGAACTCGTTGAGCAACTTCAACGCGATGGGTTGTTCACAACATTTTATTCGTTTAAAGATCCCCATCATGTTAAAAGACTAGTATTTGAACGAAGAATATTTTTTTCGATAAATTATCTTCAGGTTCTACAATTATATATCCAAATTAATAATCCGAAAAGCGGTCAGGTTAAGGGCAAAGTACATCGTTTAAAGCATGTGAATTTAGGACTGGTAAACAAATGACAATAAAATTCTTAATGTTGATATGACTCATATAGAATGTTAACTTGAATCTGCGAATATCTTAAGTGAAATTTAAGATCCATGATCAAAATTAATAAGGGTGAGATAAGGTAAGAGAAATAGTAGTGCAATTACAACTCGGTCAAACGTTTAATGGAAGGATATATTGTATGAAAAATTAGTAACAATCCTAAATTCACATGCTTTAAACGATGTACTTTGCCCTTAACCTGGCCATTTTTCGGATTATTAATTTGGATATATAATTGTAGAACTTGAAGAGAATTTTTCTAATACCTTTGTTTATTTAACCTCACTGTCACCATGTATAACATAAGTTTATTATCAGTATTATTATCACCCTGTAAAAATAAGTATATATATTTGCGATTGTACAGCTTTGAAAATGAATTCGCCGAAAAGAGAACTCTTCGCTGAACTAATCTTTCTTTCTTATTTAATGTCATAATGGGTGTATTCCGTTTATTAAAAACAATATTCTTCGTTCAAATACTAGTCTTTTAATAAGCTTAAGAGTTGAAGTTGGTGTTTGACAAGTTGTATAACATAAATGAATCAGTTATGTCATTTCATCTTAACACATGTAACAATATGTGAAAAGACTGATTATTAAATTCTTATCCATTATCTCACGATCAATAACCTTACATTTTAAGTATCTATATTGTAAACGTCAACATACTATTACCTCTCAGGGCAATTTATTTTCATTTATTCTGGAATATTTTGTATAGAATAGAGTAAAAAACGAACATGAGTCACTGGTAAGTTTTCTTTAAATTATAGGCTTTATATATACATATGCGGATCGGCTGAAACTAATCGATTTCATGTAATCCATTAGAGATAATATAACAATAGAATCAAAACTTATATTGAATTACCCAAATTACATATATATTCAATCATGATGTATTTCTTTATCTTTTGGGAAACAAAGCATCTATAATAAATATATTTCACGTTTGACTGATATTCCGTTATTCCCCTGATAATACTATGCTTAAATGGTAGAATAATAACATGCTATTATTTTAGTTTTAAGTTAGATATAAAATTGTAGATTGATCTAATTTAACTAAAAGATCAGTTAAGTGATTTGTGTTTATTAATGAAATACTTCGAGAATTCCATAAATCAGTCATATTCACATGATGAACAGAAAGTTTACGAATTACTTCTTTATCATTCGAAGTGTTAACTTATTGGATATTTTTACTTCTTAGAATCTGTCAGTGATGATGCATACTTTAACATGAAACATTGCGCATTTATACATTATTTCAGTGCAGATAATAACACATTAATAATATTATCCTTAATCACACGTATTATTCCAACTATTAAAAGTGAATACATCTTCTTTAAAACTGGTCTTCTCTCACAGATAGTGTGATAACCTGTTCTTTTCTAAGCTGAATGTAACATTAAATTCACTTAATATTGTTTACTTGAATCTCTCCATTAATGTTAAAGACTGCAATAGATCATTTTCTTATTGGCATATATGCGTACTGTGAGTATTGCCTCGATATTGCCCTAATTCATAAGCACTACAAGAAAAGATGAATAATGGCTAGCAATGAAATTCAGCACACACTTTTCGTCCTGTTTGTGACTCGTCAGCTAGACGTACCTGCATCCTACAGTTGATGTTCTCTCCAAGGCTCGAACTCAGTACCATTCGCTTTAGACTCCATCATGTTATCTATTTAGCTACTGAGCGCTGGAGTAAAAATCAACTCTGAGATGCAGGTATATTCAGCTGACGAACCCCGAGTAGGACGTATTCCGCGTCCCGCATTCCACTGCCAGCCACTATCTATCTTTGAATATAGTATTTATTACGGCTAAAAATCAGCTACAAAAACATTGAAAACTATTGAATGTTGGAATATATTTTCATCTTAGTCTCTTGTTTATCACAATTTTCCAGTGAATAACACATAAAAGATTAAATCTAAGATTTTTTTTGAGTAATTTTCATTGGATCAAGTTTTCAGAATATAAACAAAAAATAATAAGGGTATCAATAGTCATAACAAAACATGATAGGAAACACTATTCAAATAAACAATGTTCGTCTCATTAAGCATAACGTAACCAAAAGAATGAAAAACCAACTGGTTACTACTTCATAACACTCAGATATAATTTAGAAAATTATCTTAACTATTAATCTACTGACTTTTAATACCTTATTCCTTTTAAAAGCTGTTCATAAATGTTCACTCTTAACTACCTACTACGAGTTCTATAATGGTTGAGTTGGGAATATAAGCAGTTTGTTTATAACAGATTTTCGTAGCTCTTCTTTCTTATTAGTCAATTGAAAATACATGTTTAGATAACAGTATGCTGTTATAAACAATAAAGATCGTTTGATTTAAATTTAATCATTTTATTTAAGAATTGCATGGATTTTGTTGTTTTAATTGAAATTTCTTAAGTGTATCGATTAGTCCAGTTAAATTTACAAATGAAATTGTGACTTTGAAAATTTATCTCAGGTTACATGTACTTCAGAAGTTACTCTTCGTTACAGCTTAACTTTATCTCTCCAGTCTTGAATATCTCACTAATCCTTAGTATAGTGTCGTTTGACATCGAACAACATATTGTTCATAAGATTACACTATTGTCTAGACATTTACTTACTTAACTTTAACTGGTTTTTCAAACCTTTTTCTTCAAAATGATTATCATATTTTTGTTAGAGACAGATATATATCTTAGGCATTGAAAAAGATTTCATTTCTATTGTAAATACAGATCTAACTTTATTGATATTTATTCAGTTAATTTACTTGATCATTCAAGTGAAAGTAGAAAAGTACAATTAATACTGTTAAATTACTATATGATGTCTACATATATTATGGTTCATTTTCTCTTTTAAATCACCCTGAATAAAAGAAGTTTATTTAGAGTATGATAACCAAAAAAATCTATTTCGTAATATTTATTACAATTTAGTCTGTCAACAGTTTATGGCTTCTTGAATGTAGACAATCAAGCTTATTCAGCTGAAGTATGATCTTTATAATTCATTATTTAAAATAAAGTATAAATAGATTGTTAGTCATAGTGATTTTATACATTCATTGTTATTGTGTATAAATATTATTTGACATATATTCCAAGTTTATCTAAGCCGAATACATGAGTTGTTTTTGTTTCGTTCTTAACATGATTTACCCCTCTTTAAATAAGAACTTTCGTCTAAATTCGAACGAAACGTTGGATTTACTTTAAATTCTTTCGCTGAGATTTTACAAATACATTCTTCCTCTTTAATACCCATCTTTAGTTATAATAAAATCCTTAAAATTAGTCGGAACAATTTCAAAGACTTAATAATGATACTGAATGAGAAAATAGGATGAAATATAACTGAGTAACATTTAACTAATTTGATGAAATACCTAATTAATATTATCAGTTAATGAATAATAAATAAAGTTTATTGAACAAGTAGGAAAGAAATCAATGTATGTTGATATGTCAATGTTGTGAACCAGTGATATTTAATTACTCAATACATTACTTGTAATTAATTACAAGAAAAAAAATTTTTTTCCCTACTCACAAATTACAATATTTAATTTACGCGACTATCGTAACCAGTGATTTGAGACTCTGGGTGACATGGATCAAAATCGATCACAATGGTATAAGTGTATGAACTCTTTGTTTTTCCCTAAACCGTGAGATTAAAATTACTTTATACCTTTTTTTACAAACTACTGCTTTTCTCCTGCATTATATGCTTATGGGCAATCTTATTTTCTAATTTATTACTTCTATTGGAGTGTTTGGTATGTTCATATTTTGTGTTAGTGTGGTATTGCAACTTGGACTGATTCTTATATGTAACTGGTCCTACATTATAGATAATTGACTGACTCAATCGATTTAATATTTAGATAAACTGTAATTAAAAACATTAAAAGATAGTTTGCTCTGTAATCATGTTTTGTATTTCACTACGCTAATGAGAATCGCTAACAATTTGATTAAGATAAACACAATATAACAGATATCTAAATTACTTTATCATTAATCAGTTTCAGTGATGTTTTAAACGAGGAAATAATCTTGAGAGATAAATTCAGGAGTTTCATCAACAAGCATGATCAATAGTGTTCAACCTTGTCAAGTGTGATTGAAATGAACCGGTGGATGTCACCTCAA